AGTTGTATGGTACTTCAGAGCTAATTCTCTTGTTCTTTCCTTCTACCGGTGGCCTTCCTTGGTCATTTCATGGCTTGCTGACACTTTGAGTGAGAAGTCAAAGAAAGTCACAGGAATCAGGTCCTCATCTGTCCAGGAGGCTGCTCGTGAGGAAGCTCCCACAGAAGGCAGGTGAGAATGGAGCTGGAGGAGGCTCATGTTTTTGTGATCCCAGCGGACCTTTCTGGGGAGGCCACCCCCACGTCTGCCTCTCCCATTAATTAATAGCTGAGAATTAATTAATTACACATCATAGCTCCTTTCTGCCACTGTACCTGGCACTTAGTAAGTGCTTAGCACATACCAATTGAAACTGAGAAACATTTTACACAATTTTAGGTGACTTCCTGGCCCAGGGACCTCTTATGGCACAATCTTTTTCACTGTTTCGAGGCAGACACAATGCTTATTTCTGCTTTTCAAACATGAAGAATCTTCTCAGGACTTTCTCAGTTTAGTGGTTGAGTGGCTGCTTGAGTTGCATGTTTATTTCACTGTTATGGATTTCAAATCAATTGGGACACAGGGCAATTGGAACACAACATCTTTCTCTTCCTATGATGGATATGTAAGAGTGATTTTTAAAATTCTATTATAGCTGTATCCATAAAAGGAGAAACAGTTTTATTGTAGCTGTCAGCCAGAAAAATTAGGCATATTGCTAATGGGAAGAATGCACAATAACAGCCTTTTTGTTGATACACAGAGTGACAAAATTATATTCGTTTGCAGACCCAATAGACTGAGAAACATTTGCTTGTATAAACAGTTCAAGAAACTGCAGATTGAAGTAGAACTACTTAGTTGTCACTGTGTCAGTTTTAGCTTTGTGGTCCGTACACTGGAACACTCCTTACGTTTTCATTTTCTGTATGTGTGTGTGTGTGTGTGTGTGTGTGTGTGTGTGTGTGTGTTTCAATACCACACACCTTTAACATTACCTGCTGGAAATTTCTGATGATTTAGGCACCTCAGTTCCTAATGTACCTCAGTGTTTGATCACATGGTTAGATTATGGCTTCTAATGCAAATTTCCATGTGGTTATTAAACACAATTCTAATGTCCTGTCTTTACAAACAGTTAAAACTCACATGAACAATTCACACCATGAACCCCTAATTTTATATCTGATTATATTCACATTACATTCCCCCCACCTAGGGGATTAATGGTGACAAGAGAAGAATTCCATGATATCCTAAATTAAATTACAATGGGCAGAGAGAGAGACAAGAGTAATTATGCAGTTAATAGCTGCGTGCCAACTAACAACAGACTGCTCGAGTTCCAGAATGTGTGCTGGAGAGCTCTGAGTCACCTCCTGTACAAACAAAAGATGCCACTGCATCATGTATATGCATGAGCTTTCAGGACTGTTGCCCATATCCAGTCAAAAATAGTGACAATTTCTTCCTGATAGACTGTGCACCTACCCTAGAACTGACTCTGCTTCACCTTTTCCTGCCCTCTGTTTATACCAATGTTAATTCTTTCAAAACAACTTCTTTCCCCAAAACAAACAAAAGAATGGATCAACTCTTTGGTGCCACCAGGGTGGCACACATGTTGCCTCTTTCACTATCCCTGTTGCTGGTGGATTAGACTGCACTGCACACCCCAGGACCTGGCCCTGTTCTGACTAGCATTTGGCTCAATAAACCATTTTCTTGAAGAAAAGCTTTGGTAGCTTGTCCCCTTTATCATTATAAAATGTCCACCCTTTTCTCTTGTTAAAATTTTTATCTGATAATCTATATTTTGGATATAAGTATGGCCATATCCACTTTTTTGTGGGTGTCATTTGCTCGGAGTATCATTTTTCACCCTTTCACTTTGCGTCTTACTTGTTCTTGCAGCGGAGATGTGTCTCCTGAAAGCAGCACATGGTTGGGTTTTGCTTTTTGATCTAATCAGCTACTATGTGCCTTTTAAATGTAATCCCTATTATATCCCAATGTCATTTTTTAAAGAAATGGAACCAAAAATATTAATCCCAAATAGCCAAAGCAATCCTGGGAAAAAAGAACAAAGCCAGAGGTATCATACTCCTTGACTTCAAATTATATAACAAAGTGATGATAATCAAAACAGCATGGTGTTGGCAAAAAACCCAGACACACAGACCAAAGGAACAGAATTGAGAGACCAGAAATAAACCCACATACATGTGGGCAAGTAATTTTTGACAAAGAAGCCAAAAACTTACAATGGATTAAAGAAAGCCTCTTTAATAAGTGGTGCTTAGAAAATTGGAAAGTCACATACAAAAGAATTAAACTAGATTGTTCTCTGTCACCATCCACAAAACTTAATTCAAAATGGATCAAAGACCAAAATATAAGGCCTGGGACAATAAAATACATAGAAAAAAACATATGGACCTTGGTCTTAGAGAGGGTTTTACAAATTTGACCTCAAAGGCAAGAGAAGATAGAGCAAGCAAAAACAAATGAATTAGGCTACATCAAACTAAAAAGCTTCTGCACAGAAAAAGAAACATCATCAATAAAAGGGCAAACAACTGAATGGGAGAAGACATTTACAAACAACACCTCTGATAAGGGGCTAATATACATCCAAAATGTAGAAAGAACTCGTACAACTCCCAAACAATAAAAACCAAACAATCCAATTAAAAAATGGGCAGAAAAGCAGAATAGACAATTCTTCCAAGAAGACATGGCCAACAGGTACATGACAAGACGCTCAACTTCATTAGCTATTAAGGAAGTGCAAATCAAAACTACAATGACACGCCACCTCACACTGTTAGAGTGGCTATTATCAACAAGACAAATAATAACAAGTGTTGGAGACATTGTGGAAAAAAGGAACCCTCACTCACTGCTGGTGGGAATGTAAACTGGTTGGTGTAGCCACTATGAAAAACAGTATGGATGTTCCTCAAAAAATTAACAATAGAGCTATCATATGATTCAGCAATACCTCTTCTGGGTATCTTTCTGAAAATTTTGAAAACATTTATTTGTAAAGCTATATTTACTCCTGTGATCGTTGCAGCATTATTCACAGTGGCCAAGATATGAATACAACCAAAGTGTCCTTCGATAGATGATTGGATAAAGAAGATGTGGTACACATATACAACAGAATACTACTTAGCCATAAGAAAAGATGAATTATTGCCATTTGCAATAACATGGATGGATCTTGGGAATATTATGCTAAGCAAAATAAGTCAGACAGAAAAAGTCAATAACCATATGATTTCACTCATATGTGGGATATAAAACTGAAAACAACAAATGAATAAACAAAAACTCACAGACACAGACAACAGTATGGTGGTTACCAGAGGGGAGGAAGGGTTGGGGGGAGGTAGAATAGGGTAGAGTGGTCAAATATATGGTCACAAAAAGAGACTTGACTTTGGGTGGTGAACAAAGTCAAGTCTAGGGTAATGCAATATACACATGATCTATTATAGAAGTGTACACTTGAAACCTATATAATTTAGTTAACCAATGTCACTCCAATAAATTTAATAAAATTAAAAAAGAAAAAGCTTTGGGCCATGAAAATTTTTTGTGTAACAGTGACCCCCTCCCTCGCCACCTGGGTCAGGGGAGAAGATGAGGGGTGAGGCAGTGGTGAGGGCCAGGAGGAGGGTGTGCACGGGCCTGAGCACGGCTACAGCAGCCATAGGAAGAGGAGAAAAACACATGTCCTCCTGGGCCACCCTTAACCTTCCGTACACCCATGACCTTAGAACATGTTCAGTAAATAAAACTAACAAAGACAATGTGTCTTTGGCTTTCTAACCCCCAAATCTGTGCCCAAATTAGCTTATTGAAGCCCAGGTAATCCTTGAGAACCACAGCTTGTATTCCTATTTCTCAGAGACATCTACAGAGGTGATAAATAGACCTTCTACACTTGGGTGCCATTAGGGCTGGAGAAGTGGAGGGGAGGTAGATAGTAATGGAATAGTTATCACATCTGCACAGTGCTTTCGATTCTCCAAAAGAATGATCTTAGGAGTGATCCTCTAACTGGATCCTAGGAGGACTCCCTGAAGACAGATGTCATGACTATCACTTTTTTTATGATTAGGAAACTGAGACTTGGAGACATTTAGAGCCATTTCATTTTCTGATTTTGGGTGGGATTAGTGGTTTAGTGCCTGTCCCCTTGGCTGGACTGTAAACAATCTGGCCCGAGGGCAGGATCACTCATCACACACTGCTGCCCCTCAGGATTTAAAGTAGTGCCTCACACAGAGATGGACTGGGTGCTCAGTGAGCAGCTGACAATGAACACAGGCGTCAAGCCAAACTCTTGAAACCATATCTTCTGCCTTCCAGGTTTGTCCTTGACAAGCATTTTTTCTGAGAGCCTAAATAATTTTCAGTATCATTTTTATCATTTCTCATTTGTTATTTTCAGCTCTAGAGCATTCGAGGATGTTATTTTTATATATCTGCTTCTGTTGTTTCTCTTTTAAATTGATGCTGGGAATGGAAATTATACTTGGGTTTCAGTGCTAGGATTGGGTGTAGGGTGACAGGATATTTTTTCTTGTGTAAGAATTGTTTGTACTGTTATAAAGAATATAGCATTTTAGAGGAAAAGAGCTTCCAGGAGTGAATCACTATCATTCTTTGCCTGTTATAATTTACCAAAACAAAAATGCTTCTCTTTATGGTAGCATACAACCACCAACAGTCCTAAATATAGGTGCTTAGAAAAAAAGACTTGCAATGCCATTTGCCTTAGCTTCCTGATGTCCTGCATGTTACCACTGGTCTTTCAGCTGTTCAAACCTCCCACCAGGACCCAGGGGCCCATTCAAAGTTAAGCTGCCCTTTGAGTGGGCAACATTTACCTGACCAAGCCACAGAAGAGTGGCCACATGTAAGTTAGAGGCATATAACCCTCTACCTGTGGAATTTCTATTTCGCATTGTCCCTCACCATATCAACAAAGAGTCCGCACTTACATATCATCGAAGACAAGTTTCTGCCTCTTGCAGTCCCGGTGGCCATTGGAGCCTGGAGACCACGGCTCTGTCTGTGGCCGAGACTTGTGTAGAACATTTTCCGAATTGTGGTGAGCTGCTTTCTAAACAACAAACAACATACCAGTTTTTGAGAAACTGGCCACTTGGCCGAAAGAGCAACCTATTACACAGAATATCCTGTGTTCTGTACTCTATATTAGAATCAGTGGTGCTTTTTGTTTAAATAAAGAAAAAGAAATATGTGCATTGTAGGCCTCAAGATGAGGGCTTTCCTATACAGGGGTGGGCAAAAGTAGGTTTACTGTTGTTTGTATGGGAAGTAATACACTAATTTATAAATAATAATATAAGAATAATACAAGAAAAAACTCTTGTGTTTTGTGTACTCACAACTGTAAACATACTTTTGCTCCACCCTGTGTGTTGTCCAATATCATTCTCATAACAGTATCAAAAGGGAAGGCTTAGTATGGCCCCTCTCACAGATCCAGACACTGAGGTTTGGTGAGGGTAAGTAAGTTGTCCAAGCTCAAACAGCTACTATGGGTGAAGGCCCAGGGTTTAGCACTCAGGCCCCTACTTTTCTCAGTTGGCTAGACCAGTGCTTCTCTAAGTTGATTGTGCAGAGAATCGTTCAGGGGCTTGTTACCACAGATGGTGGGGCACCACCTCCAGAGTCTCTGATTCAACCACCCATGGGTACAACCACTCTGGGGTACAGCCTGAGAACATGCATTTCCAACAAGTTTCAGGTGATGCTGGTCCAGGGACTGAGTGCACAGAACCACTGAGCTGTAATCTATAATCCCTCAAGCAAGAGAAGTTGTTCAGGTGAAAAACTGAGTAGCTCTCATTCTCTGTCTGTTAAAATTAGGAAAAGCCAGAGGGAAATAATAGAAATTATTTAAAATATGTTTTAAAAAGGAACACTATTGATCTGTGGAAAAATTTAAAAAAATTCTAACTCTTGGGGATACAAATATTTACAGAGCATCCAGTGCATGTAACACATGGATCAGAAAACAACTGTCTTTGGCTATGAAGTTCAAATCAATTCCTCTGAAGTAATTAAAACAGAGTGTATACAAATGCTTCTTTAAACATGGGCTGATTTTATGCGTAGATCAAGCTTCTTTCTTAAAAGAGCCTCTTGTGCTATGTGCATTTCCTTCTTGGCAGGCACAGAGGTTAATTATGGATGTGTGACCCCAGTCTAAGTGGCTCTCCTCAGCTAGATGGGAGGTATCAGGCAGGCGTGGACTGAACCTATGAGATCATCATTGCGTCCCTGTTGCTTGGCACAGTGTCTGGCACACAGTAAGTACTTGCTCAATAACCATCCAGTGAAAGAATGACTAAATAATGTCTTTTTTTGTTTTTACAATTTTCTGCACACCATACAATTTTTTTTGTTTGTGATACAAGGATCTAGAGGCAAGGGGAAGTTTTGTTTTTAAATCTGAATTGGTAGCTTTTATTTCAGGTTTTTCTAACATTGTTTTCTCAGATTCTTGCAGCTTAGAGTTACAGGTAATTGTTTCCAAATAATGGTGCATAAGGGTGTTAATTTCCTGATGATGCAATAAGATTTAGGCTCTTGCTAGACCTTCTACTACCTTTGTCTTATTAAGTCATGGGATAAAGCATTAAGAACTGCCTCTCTCCATCTCATTCGGCAGTCACATTCTCATGTCTCATCTCTCCCAGACTCACAGAGCCCTGCTGGTTTAACAGGCACAGTGACCTGAGAAAATGCAGTGGGGAGATTTGGAATGAAATAATGTTCCTAGAGGATGGTTGATCCAGGGCCACAAGCTGGCAGACAGAGGGGGGCAGTAAAGAGGAACTAACCTGTAGTGTGAATTGCACACCTATCCACACGTGTCAGATTCTTTAGATAATATCATCTCATTTAAATCTTATGACACCACTTTGCAAATGAAACAGGCTCAGAGAGATGAGGTACGTGACCCAAAGTCATGTGGAGGCTAAGACATGAGGGTAGACAAACTGTGGACCCCAACTTCCTGCCCTTCCCCAGGGAAGTGTAGGGTGCTGGAATCACCCCTGAGCAGGTCACTGCAAAAGGAGTGGTGGCAGGTGTCCCACACTGTGTCTGCTACATTGGTCACTCGGTGTTGAAGTGGAAATCCCAACATTTTGGCCTGGGGTTTCCATTCCAAGTTTAGCTCAGTCCTGGGTCAAGGACTCTTCTTGACTGGAAAGGTGGGTTGGTCCCAAACTCCCAATTTGTCCTGTAATAGTATTACTTTGGGGCAATTTCATTTCAGAATGGGAAATTCCCAGAGCAGCTTTAGGATTCCTTTCTGGGACCTCAAGCATATTTTCAGACTGTGCTGGGCTAGAGACAGGTAGAGTATAGGGCTGTGCTCTGCTTCATTTCATTTTAATCAGGGCAGGAAGAGCATCAACGTACCGTGAGGTCTCCGGCATGAGACTGCAGCTGGTTATCAGCCTTAAGCTTTTTGTTGGAGGTGGTGGATGCGAACAGACCACTGCCATTGGACCTGCTGGAAGACGTCAAGTCCTCACTGGAGTATTTGTGTTTAGAGGCATCGGAGAGGGGTGAGATGGGTGACCGGAGCAATTTTTCATTTTTATTTATGGGTATTGCCAAGCTGAAAAGGAAAATCACAGTAATGGAATGTCACAGAGCCAGCACAGGGGGAGGTAAACGTTTTATATATGACCCTAACCTCCTGTTTAACACCTGCTGGGAGGAAGACATTTACAGGGAATTATTATACCAGCAAACAATTTTATGGCATTAGGACCATAACAAACAATAAGCAAATTTCACTCATTGTTTCTTTATGTGTCCTACAGGATGAAGAGTAATTCTGGAGTTAAATAACTGAGAATAATAAGACCTTCATTTTCCAAGTTTTTTCATCCAAGAATCTCAAAATACACAATTTTTTTTCCTGTTTTCCTAGTAAGTGTACGCAGCAAGTAATGAGAAAGTCACTCAAGTGATATATGTGTTCCTTAGTTCTTTTTTTGGTAAATTCTCACCTGAGGATATAGTTATTGATTTTAGAGAGAAAGGAAGGGAGAGAGAAACATCAGTTTCTTGGCTCCCATACACGCATACATGACCTGATCAGGGTCTGAACCCACAACCCAGGTATGTGCCCTGACGGAGAATCAAACCTTTAACTTTTTGGTGTAAGGGATCATGCTCCAATCAACTGAGCCACCAAGCCAGGGCAGTGTTCCCTACTTCTAAAAGGACTTTTGATAACACTTGAACTTACATTAATTATTACATGGAGAATAACAGAATCTCAGAATAATCTACAAAGCAAGGAGCAACTTTCCATTGTTAGGTTTTTGAGCTAATGAGGCATTGATCAGAGTAAACACAGAACACAAAGCTCATCAGAAGTTACACTTTCTGATTCTTAGCTCCTTATTTCCTTTAAAACTGTTTTCTGTAACTCCCCTGACCCCCAAAATTAATCATCAGAGAATGGAGTGATTTATATTTGAGTTTTTGCTATGTATATTATATTGATAGGACTTTCTCCATTACTTAACTTTGAGAAAACACTGGGAGGAGGCACATTAGCCTGAAAGAAACTGAATCATTCTTAATTTGGGAAGCTTGTAGAAGTTACCAGATAGAGTCAGTTAAAAAAAAAGTAAATCCATTTAACAAAGATTTAGCCACTATTCCTGTAGTTATGATTTCTTAATTGCATGTGCTGGCTATCACTGCAAATAAGCCATTAAAGTCACTTCAAAAAGCAATTTCCTTAGTTGCTGGTGACAGTGTAGAAATTACAAACACAGGCCTCGAATGATACAGCCAAGGTCCTAGAGATTATGCAAACAGACATATATAGGGATAGAATTTGTGTTGATAGATTTCTTTTTTAAAAATATTTCATTGATTATGCTATTACAGTTGTCCCATTTTCTTCAGTCCTTTATTCCCCTCTGCCCTGTACTGCCCCTCCCACCAGCATTCCCCAACCCTCTTAGTTCATGTTCACGGGTCATACGTTTAAGTTCTTTGATTTCTCTATTTCCCATACTATCCTTAACCTCCCCCTGTCTATTGTGTACCTACCATTTATGCTTATTATTCCCTGTATCTTTACCCCCAGTCTCTGCCTTCCCTCCCCACTGATAACCCTTTTTGTGATCTCTGTTTCTGTGAATCTATTCCTGTTCTAGTTGTTTGCTCAGTTCATTTTTGTTTTTGTTTCCTTAGGTTCGGTTGTTGATAGTTGAGTTTGTTGTCATTTTACTGTTCGTATTTTTAATCTTCTTTTTCTTAAATAAGTCCCTTTAACTTTTCATACAATAAGGGCTTGATGATGATGAACTCCTTTAATTTGACCTTATCTGGGAAGCACTTTATCTGCTCTTCCATTTTAAATGATAGCTTTGCTGGATAGAGCAATCTTGGATGTAGGTCTTTGCCTTTCATGACTTTGAATATTTCCTTCCAGCCCTTTCTTGCCTGTAAGGTCTCTTCAGAAAAACCAGCTGATGATCTTATGGGAACTCCATTGTAACTGTCTCCTTTTCTCTTGCTGCTTTTAAGATTCTCTCCTTATCCTTCTTTCATCTTGGGTAATGTAATTATGATGTGCCTTGGTGTGCGCGTCCTTGGGTCCAACTTCTTTGGGACTCTCTGAGCTTCCTGGAAGTCTATTTCCTTTGCCAGATTAAGGAAGTTCTCCTTTATTATGTTTTCATACAAGTTTTCTATTTCTTGCTTTTCCTTTTCTCCTTCTGGCACCCCTATGATTTGGATGTTGGAACATTTAAAGTTGTCCCGAAGGGTCCTAAGCCTCTCCTCGTTTTTTTGAATTCTTGTTTCTTCATTCTGTTCTGGTTGAATGTTTCTTTCTTTCTTCTGGTCCAAACCATTGATTTGAGTCCTGGTTTCCTTCCAGTCACTATTGGTTCCCTGTATATTTTCCTTTATTTTACTTTTTATAGCTTTCACTTTTTCCTCTATTTTGTGACCATAGTCAACCATTTCTGTGAGCATCCTGATTACCAGTGTTTTGAACTCTGCATCTGATAGGTTGGCTATCTCTTTCTCTTAGTTGTATTTTTCTGGAGCTTTGATCTGTTCTTTCATTTGGGCCTGATTTTTTTTTTTTTGTCTTGGTGAGCCTATTTATGTAGTAAGAGGCAGAGCCTTAAGTATTTGCCAAGGTGGGGCAACCCATGTGGCTGGGTTGTGGCATTGTATGTGGGGGAGGGGTCTGAGAGGGAACAATATGGCTTGCTAAGCTCTCTATCAGCTTGCAGTCACTCCCTCTGCTACCCACAATCAAGTTGGGCCCTTCTGGTGCTGATTCCTGGATGGGTTGGTTTGTGTGGGTTCCAGGACCCTGTGGGTCTCTCCAACAAACTCTCCTGTGAGGCTGGGAGTTTCTCCTGCTGGCTCAACCCCCACAGGTTTTTTCAGTCAGAGGTTTTAAGGCTTCACTTCCCCATGCTGGAACCCTGGATTGTGTGGTATGTCTTGCCCCTCAGTTGTTCCTCCCAGTTTATCTACATGCAAATGTGGGACCACCTGCTCCACCAGCTACCACCTGGTCTGCCCCAGTCCTCCAGTCACCGCCTTGCCTTGAGTCCTCTCTATCCCAGCTATCATTTTCCACCCCTCCTACTGGTCTGGGTGAATGTTTCTTCTTTAACTCCTTGGTTGTAGGCCTTTCATATAGTTCATTTTTCTGGCAGTTCTGGTTATTTTTTGTTTTTAAAATTGTTGTCCTTTTTTTGGTTGTGTGATGAGGCAAAGTATATCTGCCTTTGCCTCCATCTTGACCAGAAGTCTGTGGTGATAGATTTCTGGTTCAAAAAGCAACGGATAGCTAACAATTTAGAAGTGAGAAGATGCATTCTGGAAAACTGCCTTAGGCCAATCAAAGTGACTCAACTAGTGATGATGAAGACACTGATGCTGAAGATGATTATGAAGAGTCTGAATACTACTATTTCTTGACATGTGAATGAAAAAGTCCTATTTCTAAGTCTCTATTATTTTATATATATGTGATTTTAAATGTTCATGGAAAACTAAATTATTACATTAAATGTTGTTGTGGACATATGATTATTTTTTTTTCATTATAATTTTATATAGTCAAGCTGACCAAAGAAACTTCCTTTGGATCTCCTTTTTGGCATGGGTGATCACTTTATATATGGGGTTTCCTCATCACACCACACAGGTATAACTTGAAAGCAATCATCATAAACCTGGAAGTACACAGACAACCTTTCCTAGAAAGTACTCAAAGCCCTTTTGTAAGCACTGTTTCATTATTTAACATGAAACTGCTAAAGTGAGCAGGCTCTGCCAGGCAAAGGCTCTCCTGCAAGAGCTTCTGTATCCTGGGCTCCATGAACATGGACAGAAAAAGCCACATCCTCATTTTCATTAATCTCTCATTGAACTTGAGCATCTTGGAACTGTTTATAATCATCACTGCTTAGAAATCACAGTGATTACTAGATCTGCTAGAAAGATGGCTTAAAGCTAATGCAAAAAGAAGCATATATATAATTATATCACACATTTGAAAGACTATTTGAAACCATATTTCCCCCACTCACATTTTTCCAATATTTTGGAATACTGTCCACTTGGCACAGAATTTGTGGACAAGGTCAGCTTGCATGTATGGCTCTCCCTGCTGCCTGGACCTTCAGGATCTCTGGCCTTCCTTCCCAAGGTGACCACCACTGCAGTGCGCCTGGCTCCTGTGCCCTTGTCTCCAGTTTCCTCTCTGAGTTTCAGTGCTGCTCTATGTCTTTTCCTAAACTTTCAGTTTACATTTTTATGTGTTGTGGTGAAGCATTAATCTCTCCTTAAAAATTCTATGTACACAGTCAGGGGGATGAGTGTCTTAGCAGAGGAAAAGTGGTTTCTGAGCTGTGGTATTTCTAAATGGAAAGAGCTTCTATGACTGATGAGAAGCTAGTAGCTTATGATAAATATCTGGGACCTTGCCTTGTTAGAAAGACATTTGTCACAGAGGGGATTCAGTGCAATGTGGGTCCATCTGGAATTCCTTCAGAGGAGTCACCTGGAGGCCATTTAACCTTGCAGACACAGATCCTATCTAACACCACAATTTTAGTCTTTATCTAAGAGCTCCAGGTGTCTCATGTGAAGATTCTGCTCAAAGTTTATATTTCTCCATCTGTGCAATAAGCTTAGTGTTCGGGGGGCTCAGAAGCTATTACAATAATGGATTAAAAATTCAGTTATTAAGTTCTCAGAGGGCAAGTGTGTCTCTGGGAGTGCAGAACTGTGTGGAACTAGTAACTCGTCTTTTGTTACAAAGGACTACTCACTCACCCACACCTGGAGTTGTGATACGAGGCACACACCCAGGCATGACTATCAGCCTCAGGTGAAACCAAGCAAAGCAAGTCTGGAGACCCAGACCAGAGCAGTCATGGAAAATCTGGCTCTTCTCCCCGATATGACATATGACTTTCAGACCCAGAGATCCCTCTAGCTCACCTCTGCCTTTGAAGAAGCACACATACCTGTTGATGTTCATGGTGCAATGATTAGCAGACAAAGTATTATTGGCAGAGGCAGTCAGTCGTGAAGAGCTCTCTTTCTCTCCCTGGGCCTTCTTAATCTCCCTGTAGTCATCTTCGTCACACTGCATGGAAATAAGCAAAAACCAATCAACTTTGGATTTTAAGGGATCGTAATGAGCTCCTATCACCAACTTCCACCAAGCAAGGCCTCTGGGAGAGCAGCCTACTCAGCCCCTCTGGAAAGCACCTGGAGCAGCAATAGGAATGCAACCTCCCTGGCCCTGGTCTAGGCTCCCAGCAGCTCCTCAGCAAATAAGAATGAAATCTGCCAGTTTCACTACTGACAGTACAGTGAGGAAATGCACAGCATTGTGATCAAAATTCAGGGCAAAACGTTACCATCAACAGACCTGATGTGGCCCTCCAAAAACGCCCTGTCCTGAATCCACACTGCAGCTTCAACATCTCTCATCTTGGTGTTCCTGATATCCAAATCAACAACCTATTCTGGCTTAATGCCATGAGGGCAGTGGCAAGCTTGAAACTTTCTTTTGAAATTCATGGTTTTACGACTTTCAAGCAAGGGTTGTTATCTCTTGGTGTCTTAATTCTAGTTAACAATGACTATTTCATGACATCTCAGAATCCTTAAAGTACCTTTATATAAAATAGCACTTTGATTAAATTTTCTCCATGAGTATGTTTAACTTTAGATGTGTTTTAAGGTGCAATACAAGTGTACTCTACAAAGTTCCATTTTTCATGAGATAGCAGAAACACAGTAATGGCGTATTTGGGGCTCTTGACAAGAGTTTTCTGGAAGACAAGCAGCATCAGTACCAAAGATAGAAAGACTCTGATCTTCTCTCTCTAGCTGGGATTGTCATATGGCCTCTCCCATAAGGCTCCCAAAGGCTCACAATGAAATAGCATCCCCTAAGGGGCCTGAACCAAAGCTCTGAATCCCAGGCCTTGGCTCCAGGGCTCCAGCAGGGTGAGACTTTGCACCTTTGGCAGCCAGATCTATAGGCCCCATTTCCTGCACCCCACACTGGGGGCCTTAAACCTCAGATACTGAGTAAAGAATGCTAAGAAAAATGTTCCTTCATTTTCTGTGTTTAATAAGGATTCATTAGATTTTGTTAGCTGGGTGTCAGGCTTGACATATGTGAAGTCTCATAAGTTAAAATTTAAAAAGGCCATAAATACTAAAATTATTTAAATACAGAACATTATGGAATTTATATATATGTCTTTCTGCACATCTAAGTATGCATATATAACTATTCATATTTCCAATCTATGTTTTTCAATTTCTCTGTGTTTCTTATATATCTATGTACCTCTCTTCTTTCTCTCTTCTCTTTCTCTCTTTCTTTCCATTAGCCCATCCATGTATCCATCAATTCCCAAGTGATTAACTGACTGATTCATTCATCAATCAATTAACCACCTAGGGGTGAATGGTCAAATCAATCCAAAAGTAATGAGAAAGGCAGGATATCTAGTGGGAAACAGGAAGAAAGAGGGGTAGGGAAGAAATAAGCTAACCCATATTACTGGATTATATTGTTTGAACTTGACAATGCCCTTGCCAAGGTGTCATCATTTTACAAAGAAAGTGAAATAAAGAGAAGGTCAGATCACCCAGGAGACCAGGGAGGACGATATAATTTGCTGCTTCAACACAAAATGAAAATATTTGGCCCCTTGTTCAAAAAGCAGGAAAAGATCCTTGTCTTGGAGATAATTTTTTTTTGTATTTGACACCAAAAGCAAAGGTAACTAAAGCGAAAATAAATAGGACTATATCAAACTGAAGAGCTTCTGCACACTAAGGAAACTATCAACAAAATGGAAAAAATATTTGCAAGTCATATAGCTGATAAAGGAGCTAATAACCAAAATATATAAAGGACTCACAGAACTCAATAGCAAAAAACCCCAAACAATCTGGTTAAAAATGGGCAGAGGAACGGAACAGACATTTCTCCAGGGAAAGACATACAGATGGCCAACAGGTACATGAAAAGGTGTTCAACATCTCTAACTGTCAGAGAAATGAAAATCAAAACCACAGTGAACTATTACCGCACACCTGTCATGATGGCTATTATCAAAAAGACAGGAAATAATAAGTGTTGGTGAGAATGTGAAGAAAAGGGAACCTTCCTATACTGTTCATGGCAATGTAAATTGGTAGAGCCACTATGAAAAACAATACAAAGGTTCCTAAAAAATTAGAAACAAGTACCATATAATCTTGCAATTCCACTTCTGGGTGTTCAGGTGAAGAAAATGAGAACACTAACTTGAAAAGATAATATGTATCCCATGTCCAGTGCAGCATTATTTCCAACGGCCAAGATATGGAAACAACCTACATACCTATCAATGGATGAATGGATCAAGAAAATTATCTGTATAGCACACACACACATATACAAACAATGGAGTATTATTCAGCCATAAAAAATAAAACCTTGCCATTTGCAACAACATAGATGGACCATGAAGGCATTATGTTAAGTGAAATAAGTCTGACAGGAAAACATAAATACTGTATGATCTCACTTACATGTGGAATCTAAAACCAAAACAAAATAAAAAACAAAACCCCAAGCTTATCAATATAGAGAACAGATTGGCAGTTGTCTAGGAGTTTGTGGGGTTTGGGGGAAGAGTGGGAAAAATGGGTGAAGGAGATCAAACCATACAAACTTCCAGTTACATAAGTCCTAGGAGGTAACACACAGCATGGGGACTACAGTTGACAATACTGTGTTACATATTTGGAAGTAGATGGGAGAGTAGATCTTGAAAATTCTCACCAGGAGAAATAAAATTTGTAATTATGTATGATGATGCATGTTAACTGGATATATTGTGGTGATCACTTTGTAATATATACAAATAGAGAATCACTGTATACCAGAAAGTAATATAATGTTACTGTTAATTATACTACAATTTTTTAAAAAAAGCAGGAAGAATAACATGTAAAATGCTAAAGCAGAAGACATTTCCTCTCTGTCAAAGCCTCTTTCTTGATCTTCCATGGTGGTATTTACTTGGTGTTTTATATTATGCTCATTGTGGGGTTGGCATACTTGGGGGAGTGAGTATAGACTCTCAAGTGCCCAAGAATCCTGTCCTGCTCCTGGGTGCATGTGTGACACACCACAGGGGGTTTCCACTGCCTGCCATTTGTGGGACCCACCTGTCAAGGGGCAGGGAGGTCCAGTTGGGCATTTCCCCTTTCCAGAGACCAAACCCCAACCCAAGGCAAACACGCAACCCTTAGGGGATTGCAGACTTCTCTCCTGGACTACTTAGTAACTGGACTGTGGTTGGGCGGGATGCCTATCCTGACCTGACCCTCACTGTGCCTGCCCCTTGGCCCCTGGAGCCCCAGGGCAGCAGCCCCATCCCCAGAAGGGCCAGGAGTGCAAAGGGGCAAAGGGCAGGCAGAATCTGTCCTAGGGAAATAGGTGGGGCTACAGGTGAGACAAAGCTCCATGTGGTCCCACACATGCTTTATTGTCCCATCATGCTTCGCTCAAAAAACACAAATTTGAAGATAAAATGAAGAATTTGAAGACGGCAACCACAAGCATTAATCTCTAAGCCCAAGCCCTTCTGACCCTGTGGGAAAGTAATACACAAACCTAAAGCTGGCTCCTTATTGGGAGACCCTGAGCCAGACAGGCTGGACTCATTCCTGGTTCTGCCCCTTATCACCTAGTGAACCTGGGGCAAGTCACTTTAGGCTCTTGAGCCTCAGTTTCCTCATCTGTACAATGGGCATGACAGTAATATTTTCCTCATAAAGTTATAAGAACTACACGGTTTAATATGTACAAAGTGCTTAGACCAGTATCCCTCATGAGGACATACGTATGTGTTAACTGTTGTTAATGATTTTGTCCTGATTTGGGAACCATCCATGATTCTTGCAACATTTGGTCACCCATTGTGTTTTCCACTGTGGTCCAAGTTACTCTTGAAGATATGTAATAGTTACTCTTAAAGATACGTAACAGGACAAGAATCCTCAAAATTGGCTTTAATTTATGACTAAGTTATTCTCATGCTCAAAAATCTTTGAAAACTGCTGAGCATGTGGGCTGCTTCCCCTGTGTTTCTAGCTCTCCCTGTACTTGGATTGCCTTTCTCACTCCTGTGCTTAACTTGTTTACTCTTTTCCCCTCTTCTGGTGCCACTTCATCCTTGACCCTCTGATTCCAGTCACGTGCAACATAATGATGTTTTAGTCAATCATGGACTGCACATACAATGTGCACATATAATCCCCTAAGATTATAATGGAGCCGAAACATTCCCATCACTTAGTGATGTCCTAACATCATAGCGCAATGCATTACGTGTTTGAGGTGATGCTGGTGCAAATAAGCCTGCTGCACTACCAGTCATATAAAACAGCATTTATGTACAATGCATACTTCATAGTGATAATGAACAACTATGTTACTGGTTTACTATATATATTTTTATTGCTATTTTACAGTATACTCTTTCTACTTATTAAAAAAGTTTTCTGTAAACCTCTATGCCATTTGATGGTGGCAGCAGCCTCATACATCTCATGTTTACCAGTCTCTTGATCACATCATGTTCTCTTGTGCCTGACTTAATGTCGTTTGGTAGGGTAACGGGCTGCACAGGCCTGTAGCCCAGTGGCAATACGCCATCCCACATGGCCTAGCTGTGTAGTAGGGTAGACCATCTAGGTTTGTATAACTGCACTCCAGGAGGTTTGAACAAGAACAGAATCACCAACAATGCATTTCCCAGCATGAATCCCAGTCATTAAGGGGCACAAGACTACACTCAAATGTCCTTCCTCTGCAGGGCCCTGTTCCCAGCCCCTCTCCACCACCAAACTTCTTGATCAACAAGACTGGGAGCAACAGATGGCAACTCTGAGGCCTCAGGCTGGTGATCCCCTTACAGGGCCCGTTCTCCCACTGCCTGGCATCCCTTCCAGCTAAGAATGGAACTCATCATGTGTTTAGCTTTTCTACAGGCCCAGCTTCCAGCTCGCTTTGACACACATTGACTGGGTAAAGATTTCCTGCATACCTACTTCATCATGCAGTGGCACAGGGCTTAATCATTTAGAGTTATGGGAATGATAATACTGGTACTTCCCTACTGGGTGGTTTTAGGGGTTCAACTGAGTTAACGTATGTCAACTGTTTACAACAGTACCTGGCATGTGTAAGTACTCTATGAATGTCTGCTGGGTAAAGACACACAGAACTGCTGCCTTACATGCCAGACCAGCAGCCTACTTGTGCTCTGTCACCTCACCCTCAAGTTAAGGGACAGCCCTCCTTCCCTGCCCATCCCTCAGCCCCAAGCCTACCTTGCGTTTCCTCTTGGATTTAGGCAAGGCCTTTTCTGAGGGTGTGTCGGAGGGGTGGCTTGGAGGTGCACTCTCAGCGTCCTTAGCCGCAGGAGTGCTTAAGACCCCAGGCTCCTGGGGCATGTGTTCTGGGATCCTGGACAGGAGGGTCAGGTCAATTTTGACCCAGAGAGACCTGACCTCATCACTATCCTTCAGGGGAGAGAGGAGTTCATTGCGGCCAAAGGGGACCAGCGTGTAGAACTGCTCCTCCAGCTCCTTGGCGATGTCACTGGTGGTCCTGGCGTTGATGGAGCCTACAGGTGCGCGGGGGCCACCGCCGCTGCTGATGCTGTTGGCGGCCTCCTTGAGCCTTTGGTCACTCCCAGAGGCAGCGACAGCAGCAGAAGCAGAAGCAGCAGCAGCAGCAGAGGCAGTAGCCACGGCCTGTGCTTTGGCCAGAGGGTACTCGTCCTGCTCCGACTCCAGGTCGGAGTCTGAGGAGGAGGACGAAGATGACGACTCTGTCTCGATGAATTCCTTGGACTTGGGGACGATCCTGCTCAAGCCCCTCGTGCGGCGCTTCTCGCAGGTGACTGAGGCCCGCAGCTCCTTGCGGTGGCTTGTCCTGCTGTTGCCACAAGGCCTGGCTTTGGTGGGCTCTGGAGCAATGGCTGCGCTTGCCCCCAGTGCCTCTGTTGGCTCCTCCTGCCGTGGGCAGTTAGCACTATCACCGGCTGAGGTCCTCTCCGTGCGCCTGGGGGGCTTCTTGCCGGCAGACCTCCGCGTGGGCGTGGGCACACTCTCAGGGGACACACCAGGGACTGTGGGTGGTGGGGCGGCTGCAGTCACGGCCACGGCCACAGCCGCAGGCGGGGACTTCTGCTTCACCCCCTTAGTCCCTGGGGCCTTGTTGGCTGTCCTTGGCCTCTGCTCCTCCCTGCAGGTGCTCTTGATGTCCTTCTCTCTCAGGCCGGTTTGGCAACTGTCGGGGAGTTTCCCGCAGTCCTGCACTTGGTCTTTCCCCGGGGCGTAGTACTGACTGCTCTCCAGGCTGTGGCTCTCATTTTGGATCAGAATGGGGGGCTTGTGGGGATTAACTTTGTTCAGCCATTTATCCAGCTGCCACTTGTTAGAGGACGCGGGCTCAGCCTAAAAGCAGAAAACAGGCAACAAACAAAACATTATTACAGACTCAAAAGGGGCCTGGCTGTTTTTACCTTCACTTATTCCTCTAGTTGTATGAGCAGAAAGCCAATGGGAAGCACAAGGAACATGGGCCCAGGAGTGAGTGTGGCAGCTCTCTGGGACACAGGATGCAGGATGGTGTCCCTCTCCTGTCCCAGGTCACTTACAAGTCAGCACAATACTTTGAAATCAATTAGGAAAAATTCAGAGAGCACTGTACTTCATTAGAGCCCATTTTCAGCACCTTTGAGTGTTACACAATGTATATATTTTATAATTATATGTACATACATAAATGAGATTCCAAAAGTTAACTGGGTAATAGTATGGGGGCCCTGTTAAAGCACTCATTTTTTTTGGTAAGACTTAAACTTTGGGGGGAAATTCAAAGAGGGGGCTAAATGGAGCCTAGAGTCCCAAAGAATTAGCATGTAGTCCTTGTGGTGAAGGCGAGTAGGGCATAGTTATTTCCTCGCAGAAGCAGTAACTTTGAGAAGATGGCTTGTTTAGTGATATGGAACTTCCACTTAACAAGAGACCTAAGTGAGCCCTAGGTGCCCTGGCAGCTGGACTTGGTCAGTCCGTCCTCAGCCTGCTTCCACCCCACTTTGCCAGGAATGTTTCAGACATGAAAGTGATGATGGAAGTTTTTACCTGCAAGCAGGTTTGCTAACTTAAAGCACATTACAGGTTTTAAACTCTGCCCCATGGATTGGTTCCAGAGGGTCAATGAATGTCCCTAAACAGAATGTGAAATGTTCCATAGATGCCTTTTCTAGGAGAAGGCCATAGTTCTATGTCTTATAAAAAGGTTAAGAACTGAGTAAATGCTTGATTTTTAATAAAAGTACATTTATCCATCATCTGTGATTATTAATAGAAAATAGGTATATTGATAAGTATAGAACTCTAGCCAGAGTGTTTGCAATTTGTAACTATATGTAAAATGTGGAAAGTGTTCTGAGTGATGGAGGTGATGTATTTTTCCTTCTCGACAGACTCCTGCCCTCTGATCACCGCATCCACTGTTTCAGGAGAGACTACATTCCAGCCGAGAGTAAAGAAGACACCGCTTAGCTTTGCATTTCGAACAAGATTAGATCAAGTCCAAAGCAAGTCAGGCTCCCTTGTAGGAGAAAAACATTTTTTTTTCTACACAATAATTTCAAAAGCTTGTTTTTATGTATCAAGATTTGTTTTTCAATAGTGAAGTCCATATTAAGAGCAGAACTTGGGACAAAACCCTAGGAGGGGAGTGAAGAGACACAAGAGTCCTGGCTGAGTCTGGAGGAGTCTGCAGGGCAAAGCTCAGGACAATGAGAAGTCTCTGATGGGTCAGAAGGGCCTGGGGTCAAGACAAAAAGGGCACAGAGTGTGGGAACCACACACTCCAGCGATGGCAGGGGCCATGGACATCTGCTAGTTCTTCTAAAACAGATGAGACCAACTGCACTTCAGGGTAGTCCATCCAGCACAGGGTGTCCAGTAACTGGGGAGAACAAGCGACATTTCAGGGGAATGCAGCATAAGGATCCAAAGCCCTTGCCCTGGGCCTGTCAGATGCAGAGGCTACAGGTGTGGGACGAGACACTCCCATGGCCCCAGTGGGGTGTCTGGTCTTTGACTTGACTTTTTGCTTTGTTTGTTTTCATGCACCAAAAGGATCAGGGCTCCAGACCAAGATACTAAAGAACAAAAAGATCTTTATGGTGCCCCTGAGTTGTTGAATGCAAATTCTGACCTCGCTTTATTTTGGCTTCTCTGGAGAAAAGGAATATGTAGTGCACACCCGTACATACTGCAGCAGTACAGGCACGCAATGGAGAGGGCAGGACACAGAACAGCTTCTTTGCCAAGGGGAAGCTCTCACCTTCCCTGAGATAGCTGAGTGTGGCTAAAAGATAATTTGGTGGTAAACAATTTATGGCTTCTGTTACTGTTTCCTCCCACGCCCATTTCTCTCATTCTGTGACCACTTACAAGTCAGTGACTTGTGTGCCTCAGCTTCCCTAGACAAACGGGGCACAGTAAGTAGGAATGGAGGCTGCTGGGGGCCTCTTGTAGAAAAGGGACACATCGAGACAGGGAGCAAACACAGCAGAGCGTGCCCTCACTCTGGCCTTGCCTCCAGGTTTAACACTGCCTCCCCTCCACCACCATCCTGAGCTTTCCCCAGCTCACACCTCTGATGGTCAACCACAGCTGCACACAGGGATTCGAACTGAGACTTCCTGGTGGAAGCATTAACAACAAAGGGGAGAATTTAGTAAATTCAGTATGGCACCCATTGCCTGATGTGCTTTAGGGTCTTTTTTTTTTTTCACTTCACAGCTGAAGAATCAGTCTGAAGTATCATTTTCAACACATTCCTAAATCATACTTCCTTTCTCAAGGCTCTACAGTTACCTCTTCCTATTGCCTCTCAAAGGAAATCCAAATTTCTTGGGCGGGCGTTCAAGGGCATCATCCATCACCTTAAGGTCACCATTCCTTGCTGGAATACCTGCAATGTACTTCTCACTTCACATATGCCATCTAACTTAATCCATATAGAGAAGAAATATTATCCTCCCTAATTTGTAGATGAGAATCAGAGAGGTCAAGTGACATGTCCAAAGCTGCAGAGCTATCAGGCACCACAGAAACTAAACCTGTATTTGTCAAGGTTTAAAGATCAAGTTCTCTCCCCTGTTGCTTGGCCTAATCTTCATTACTGTCTGGAGTAGCTTCAAGAAAGGGGGACCTCATTCCCTAGAGAAATGTTGGTTTTCAACCTAAAATGATAGAATTAAGTCTGATTTTTGGAAAATACCACTAACTCTCCAAACAGTAACTGTGTCTTCTATTACTTTCAACTGTATAGATTTTTCTAAAAAAAAAAAAAAATCCTTACCCAAGGCTATTACTGATTTGAAAGAGAAAGAGAGAAACATTGGTGTGAGAGAGAAACATTGATCAGTTGCCTCCCGCACGCACCCTGACCAGGGAATGAACTCGTAATCTAGGTATGTGCCCTGACTGGGGACGAAATCTGCTACCTTTATTGGTGTATAGAACAATGCTCAACTAATTGAGCTGCCTGGCCAGGGCAACTGCATAGCTTTTTGATGTTCATATTCATTTCATGTGTGTATGGTGTATCTTTAACAAAGCCAAACACTTCTTTCAGGCTTGAGCCAGGTCTCTGTTTCTTTGTGTCCCTTGCAGTGTCTGTAATAGGTTAGGGAGGCAGATTGCTATGACTCTGTACCTAAGAACCACTCACAATGGGCTGTCACTCAAATTGTATAGTTTATTCCTCACAACAACCTCACAGATTAGGCAGCACAGGTACATCTGCCATTTTAGGTTTGGGGCAAATGTGGCCAAGGAAGCTTAACTGCGAAGACTTAAGTGGCAGTGAAGGGGAAACTCAGTGCTTGGGACCGTCATATTCTGGCACACTGCTGGTATGGCTGACTTCCTGAGCCATCCATCAGGGCTTCTGCCCAGCATTTGTTTACTTGCTCGCTGCTTTGTATTTTCAGCCGCGACTCTCCTCCTTGATTAATCTGGGCTCTGACTCACGTATAAGCCCTCCACCAAGTACCCTAGTCCCTGCTTCATCTATATCCCTCACATGGCAGTACCCACTGCCATGTACCTCATAGATGCCTAGTTAAGGGGAAGCTTGTTCACTCAATGAATAACTTGCATCACATTTCGATGATTTTCAAGAACAATCTAGGGCAGCATTTGCAAAATGTGCTTTTAGTTCACATAGTCCACAAGAAAGGTGTCCATAGTCAGATAAGTTTGGGAAATGTACAAAGGAAAGCACAGTGTACTTGAGCAATTTTATGGGCTGGGTAAAGCCCTACAGTAAAGAGATGGGTTAAACCTACTTAATCCTGGTCCTCCTCAAAAATAGACATGGCACAGGTCTGAGGAAGCTGTGTGTGCAGGTGTACACATGCTTGCTGAGGGGAAGGCAGTTTCCCCTGCAAAGCTCTGACGTGAAAAGATGTACCATGCCAGGAAAGAAGATGAAACTCATGTGAAAAAAATTAGACTGATAAAACATCAGGCCACAGGGAGGGGACCTGCGAGATGAAAACAGCGTTTGCAGTGGCTCCTCTATGCTGGCAGGCAGACAAGGCATTGCACTACGGTGACTCACGTAGAAGGCAGTGGCTGTCCATAACCACAGCTGGGAAGGGCAGTTCAGGTGAAACTCAGTGGAGCTCCACAGGTTTCTGGTGCTGGCATGGCGAGTGGGAGAACACAGGGTCCTTGAAACACCATGAGGGCCTCCTTCTACTCCCCTATGTCAGGATGTTACCAGGAGGGAAAAGGAGGGTCGGAAACCTTTTGCTTCTAAGCAGCATAAACTAGTAAAATGTGAGGTGTGTGGCTGCACAGAGCTCCCTTGTCATGTGGGGTTCAGGAAAATGAACCTCACTGCTCTCTGTAAGGTCGCCTGGGCCAGCTCAGACAGAAGGAAACAGTGACACTGGACACTGGGGATGGCCAGTCCTATTACGCTGCTTCCTTTCTTTGCAATTTTCATTCTGCAAATTCACTTTATTTCTAAAGGGCATGTGTCTGTATTAATCTTGGACAAATGTTAAAAGAAAACTTACTTTTATCCCAACTAAGACATTCCTTTTCAGCAGAAAGAAGTAACTTGCAGGGAGGCTAACACCTCACTTGCCACTTCTGCATTCTCTCTGCATAGAGAAGCAAGAAATTGAAAACTATATGTGGCCTCAGGCAACTTGAACTTCTAGGCCTGCTTCAGTAGAGCTCTCTCTCCTTAGCTAGGGGCCTCTAATAGTTGCTGCAAGAAATGACAAGAGCTTCCTTTCATCACCAAGGAGTTCAAGTCTTTGTAATGATCTCAGTAACATTTAGAAAGAAGTTGGTGAAAGCACCTTATAACTGTACCTCTTAGGCTAGGTTTCAGCTTCATTCATGAGGTATGAAAATAAGACTCAACTGGTCATGAATTTAACCTTCAAGGTCACAGAGAAGAAGCTGCATAGGGGGTCTTCACAGGCACCGACACTTTTTATTCACCTCTACTGACCTCCTTGGCTTTTATAACATCCCTGAAGCCCAATTATTTCTTCTAACTAATACTCCTCTGGAGTTTCTCAACAAATTACAGCATAAAGTTGACTTTGAAGAAGACCGCTTAAACTCCTTTGTTTTATCAGACTCTTGTATTTTTTTTGTTTTGTTTCAAATTATTCCCATTATTATGCCAGCTCTAGGAAGACAGGGATGTCAGATAATTGCTGTATCCTAGAGCCAAGCCCCAGGTCTGTGGCAGATGTTCCATAAATATTTGTTGAATGAATACTGAATGAGTGAGCGAGTGAATGAATGAATGAATCAAATTATAAAGAAGGAATAATAATTTAGTTTCTGGGAAAAGTCAGGGTTATATCAACCTGTGGTTTTTATAGGTTAATGTTGCTAAGAGACTTCCCCCTACATGGGGTGGAAGGTAGAGAGAAGGGGGATAGAGAGGGAGGAAGGGAGAGATAGAGAGAGAGAGAGACAGACAGACAGACAGGAGGTGAACCTTGTGGGAAAAGGAGACAGGTACAGGAGAGATGGCTCATGTCAGGATGAATGGAGAGCACCTGGAGCGAGCAGAAAGGTGCTGGGGAAGAGAGGAAGAGTGTGGGGAAATATTACTTCCCTGGGTTTCTTAGTGCCCCCTGCAAAAAGCCCAGCTTCCTGAGGGGACACTGGGGAAAATTCTGAGGGAATCTAAGGGCCACTGTATGGGCTTCAGATAGAACCATGGTGGCTTTCCAGTGTCCTACGGCAGGCACATGTGCAAATGCTGGAAACAGGCGCTGTGCCGCCCCTTAGGTGTGCCCCTCTCGCTGCCACGCTTTGCATAAGTAGCTTTGGTTTTATTTCAGAGCCTCCTAAGAAATTTGGATCCCAAAGTGATATACAGGGTTGTTAGGTAAAAACTAAATCCCACCATGCATGATAATGTCAACTGTTTCTACACTCAAGAAGAAACTGTGTTTTGACTCCTCTAGAACTCAAAATTGACCCTTACAGAGCCACAGACTTGAGAAATTTGCTCTCAATGCTCACCCAAGAACCTACCATGCTCTGAAATACTATTTAATTTTCTCTTTTCCCCTTTAAAGTAGAAAAAACAATGTTTTTATTGGTACTTTGTAATGTTTTTATATGAGGCATCTAAATCTCCCACATAGCTACTCATGTAGCTATAAAAGGTTTCATTGTTATTTGTAGGTTGATGCTAATTTTTCTTTTTTTTATATTTTCACAAAGAAAACACAGTTAAGAAGGTTTTATTAATACTTATGGCTCTTGTTCTTCTAATCCATGATAAACTGCAAAAATGTAAGGTCTTACCATGTCTCATCCATAAAACTCTCCCATGATTTATGGGCGGCCACACTGTGCAGACAGTAAACTGCCATAGTGGTTACTGCCTTGCTGACCCTTAGGGAGACCTGATCCATAGGGGTGTTTCCAGTCAGTGATATTTATAGCATATCTGGAAATTTCTGGAAATCAAGATGGAGATTTTTGGACAATGAAAGATGAAATTTCTGTGCTTCCAAGGAAGCTCTGTCGTAAAGAGAACTGAGGAGGGGAGAAAGAAGGGAAAATGCTGACCCCACACAAACCCTGATGGGCTGCCAGAGGTGGTGGCCTTAGGGTTTTGGCTATTACAGCCCAACGGTGGGGGTGGGGTGGGGTCAGAAGCAGAGTACCTGACAGACAGACTCAGTCAGCTCCTGGGGCTCAGGGCCAGGGCAGGTCTTACCTCAGGGCTGGAGCAGTGGGCCGGCTTGCTGCCTTCACTCTCACTGGAACTGCTCTCGGTCTCAGAGTCAGATCCCGAGCTGCTCTCCGAGTCACTGGACGAACTGCTGCCGCTGCTGCTGCTGCCGCTGCTGCTGCCCTTGCTGGAAGGCACCGAGGCTCTGCAGCCGGCCTGCTGGACAGAGGCACTGCCAGCCCACAGGGCCGGGAGGAAAGGGGAGGAAAGCCAAGTAAGCAAACACAAAACACCACTGAGCAAGCTGTCATCCCACCAAAAGAGAGGGAAGACACAGACCACACATCTGTCCACCATCACTTGGCACTTGAAGAGTAATCAAGGTCAAAGGCATCCTAATGCTTAAAACAACATTACATATACGTAAATAAGACTAGGGCTAAAAGCTGGTGCCCCTTGGTAGTTGGGCATGTTATTTGTGTGGCCATTTTAGAAAGGAAGGCTATGTAATTCCAGAATGACTGTGTCTCTCTACTGCTGCTGCTGTTTCTGGGAACGCCTTTTCAAATGCACCCCCAAATCTAATCATCTACAAAAATGCAAGGATATCCAAAATGCTTGAAATGTTTTGTAAACACTGAGAATGTCTTTTGCTTTATTTTAGGACATGGGCTGTGAAGAAGGGGACAGTGTTCTGCTCTACACTCTCACGGGCTACTGGAAGGTTCCATGGCCATGGGACCAGCAATTATATAGCCCTGCTCTCCGCTTCCTCCTGCCCACAGATCGAGTTCAGTCATCTTTACAGGAGCTGGCTTTTGCTGAATAAACAGTAATTTCCCTTTGAGTCCTTTATTTAAGAACTGGAGACCCATCACTTACATGTTTTTATATATTCCCAGATTTTAAAATGCAATCCTAGTAGATTGGCTAGCTTATAGCAATAACATTTCAAATTATCTTTTATGTTCACATTCATGCTGAAATTTGCTGGGAAGCTTTATACTCAAATTACACACTCAAAAAGAACAGGAAAAATTGGCATTTTTCTAATGGTAATTAATTAACCACAAAAATTCAAATAGCAGACAGCCATCCAAAGAGTGTTTGAGCCAAGAAGAAAGTTTTGGTACTTGCATAATATTCAACATCTTCAAAGTCTGCATTAATTGGAAAACATCTAAATCTGTTCTTTTGAGATGATATTCTAAACCCAGAAATGCAGTGATCACTTTTTTATGTTGAGTGTGAAAATATTTGCTTGCTTCTTCCAACTGTGAACACTGCTTCAATAGGACTGAACACTAGGGAAGGCCAGGGGCCAGAAAGCTTGTCAGGTTTAGGGTCTTAAGTGCAGTTCAGCCTGGACAAGGTAAAGCACCCTTTCCACTGGCCCCTTAAATCTCTGACAAATGCTCTTCCTAAGGACAGAATCTTAGTGTGGGAGCATTGAGGGGGTGCTGAGGGGTTAATACTCATTGGAAACTAGCTCCTAGAAGTATGACAAGACAAAAAACTGTCTTGCAGGATATCTGAAAATAAAAGCACCTTTTGAACTGAAGGGTTAGGGAAAGAGAGAACTGGAACATAAGCTTCCCCAGTAGTTTTTATTTCTTCCACCAACATCACAATCCACACCTATGGTCTGACAAAATTCTTCAACATTGGATGACATCTGCCTATTTATGCCTTGCCTGAGCTGCAGTGATTTCTTTCAAAGCCTTTCATTTGAGTCTGGTGTTGAGTGAGAAGTCCTGGCTCTTTAGACAGAAGAGGGGAGGGAAGGTTAGTGATCAAAGGCCTGTAATATTGCTTTCTTCCCTTATGAACTAAAATCCACCTTTTCTGTGGACAAAGTTGAGATGGCTACTATCAACACAGCCATTTAAAAACAACAAAAAAGGATTATTGGGCTCTGACCAAACACAAACACCTGTAATGCATGTTAACAGTTTGTCAGGAGGCCCCAAAACACTGGGGGGGAAAGAAAACTCCAGAATACAAACACCTCCCCCCATTAATAAAACCAAACCAAAATCAGAAAACCCTCAAAAGCAAAGCAACACGTGATGGAGGAAAGACATACGTCCCCCTGTCACTCTTTAGATGACATTTGCTGAAGACTGGGAAACTGAGATGAACAAAGAGCATTTTGATTGGTTTTATATGCTGGTACATTCTACCTGCTTTAATTCAAACAACAAAGAGCATGTGGTGTGGCACTGTGTGTGCCTGGGCGGCATGTGTGCTGCAGAAGCAGCGAAGTGTCTGGAGTTCCCTGGAGCTTGCACCGCAAAGCAACTGACTGTCTTTTGAAAAGCAGCACTTTGATTTCTGGGGAAACGTCCATTAAACAGTTACCGGGCTGCCTTCCCTTTATGACTGCTGTTCTACAGGCATGAGACACACTCACCCAAGGAGAAGGGATCTCTGATCTGAATTAGACTGGCAGAAAACCCTTATACTTTTATGTTTTGCCTCCTTAAATTAGGAAACTCACTTAAAAAGACAGTTTTACTGGCATAACTATTACTTGTTTTTAAAACAGTTCAGAGATCCTAGTATTTAGGGTCTTCATGCTTTGCTTTCAGGGCTGTAAGGATCACAACGTGTCTGGGGTCAGGATTGAATACATTTGTGCTTCAGTGGTCTGCGCAGAGAATATGTTGCCAGAAAGAATCATGCTAAGGGTGGGACCCCGAAGAGCTCTCATGTCCCAGTTCTGGGATCTAGAGAACTACCCCATCTCTGTGAAGGCTGCTGCAGGAACCAGTCTTTGTGCGGGTCCTTGGGGCTGAGTGCTCCTGTCATGAGGGCATGAAGCTGCTGTGCCTCTGCTGCAGTCGCTGTGGCAGGGATGGTGGCAGATAGAGACTAGGAAGCCAGATGGGACGGTCATCACTGCAGACTACTACTAACTAACACAAGGAGGGCTCTTTGGAGACACAGAATCAGGAAGATGGAAAAATATGTACTGGAAAGACCTTCCTGAAAGAAGACTAGGCCATATATATTTAAAATTTTACGATGCCAACTAGTTGTCATGTTTACATACAAAAAATATTTTTAAAAATTAACTTAATTAAAAATTTAATCCCCCCCCCCCCCCCGAAAGTACAGCAGGTTGGTTGACATGATGACATAGCCTTGGACAATTTTTACAAGAGCTCTGGGACCCTGTGCCACTCTAGGAGCATGTTGTTGTGGAGCATGCTGACATGGGGACATCAGTGAGACTGCAGACTCAGTCTCTGTGTCACCCAGCCTAGCATGGACACAGTGGGCGTCACATGTGCCTACTGAATAAAAAAAAAATCAACAGGAAAAAATTCACCACAAAATTCAATTAAAAGTAAAAAAATCCATCACTGGTTTAGTAAGTTTTTTTTAAAGCATTTAACCTTTCAAAAAGGTCACAATTTCTCTTTTCCAATAAAAAATATTTAAGAGCATTTCAGCACCTCTTGTGCTCTTCCAGTTTTAACATTTTTTTCTTTCAGAGACCATTTCTTTTTTTTTTAAAGGGAACTGTTTTTTTTTTAAAGATTTTATTTATTTATTTTTAGAGAGGGAAGGGAGGGAGAAAGAGAGAGAGAGAGAAACATCAATGTGTGGTTGCTGGGGGCTGTGGCCTGCAACCCAGGCATGTAACCTGACTGGGAATCGAACCTGTGATGCTTTGGTTCGCAGCCTGTGCTCAATCCACTGAGCTACACCAGCCAGGCCAGAGATCATTTCTTTAAATGCACTCTAAATTCATATGCTATGATGTAAACTCAGTTCTCTCTTGGTGATTTATTTAATTTTTATATTTTGATTTTATGAAATATCTTGCTGTTTTTTGTTTTTGTTTTTTGAGGGTCCTGGCTTTGTTCTAAGTGACCTGCTTGCTATGTACCTTCCTTTGGCTGTCGTGACACATTCCTTACAGAATCTGGCCTGGGCTAAGTCTGAACACAGACAGTAAAAGAAAAGACCTGGAAACTAAATAACAAATCCTGGATCTCACAGTCAAGGGTGTTCCTCCTGCCAAGTGAATTGTGGGGCCTGGATAAATATCTGCAGTTGTCCATAAGCTTTCAACCAACAAGTAACCAGGGGGCAGGGGCTCTGCCTGGTTGGCACTGTGTGGATGCTATGATGCCCAGCATGGTGTCTTGCACCCTGTAGGCACCCACATCTTGGCTGAATAGTAATATTACAGAAGAGGCTATAGCACTTCCTTACTCAACACTCAGTATGAACTCAGCAAATGCTTGCCAAACTGTAATCAGTCCTCTAGCAACAGTATTTCTGCATTGAAAGCATCTTTATTGATAGTAATTGATCTAAAACGATAACATTATGAGAAATGAAAATGGTAAAAAACTGGCACAAGAGGACTCACATTGCTAGAATTATCTTCCAAAAAAACCAAAACTGAAAGGACCACTGGACCTGCATTAAAATATTTTTCTCCTGCATTATCACCAGGAACAATTCTTCTGTTAAAACATGGCATCTGAAGCCCTTAATGGTCTGGTCTCAATCAGATCTCCAGCTTCATTTCAATGAGTCCATCCCTAAACCTCAGCCATAATAATTTCTCATCATTTGAGCAATCTGTGTTTATAGCTGGGTGCCTTTGCACGTGCCATTTTCTGGTTCTCTCCTACTCACGCCCTAGGACTGAGTTATGAAGCTACCCTACTGTGTAAAGTTTTCCTGAATTTCCCTAGGCATAATGGGTGTTTCCTCCCCTGAACCCCTACAGCACACTGCCCATTTCCTTATTGCAGCCCTTACCATATTAAGGATAGGAACTATCTAAATTATTCTTGTATCCCCAAAGCTAGTAAGTGGTCTGACATAAACAGATTCTCAACTAATACTGACTTAATGAAATAATGATTCTTGATGCAGTGTGTAAAACTGATTCTTGATATAATGTATTTTATTATACTTTCAAATAGCCCCTGAGATATTCATATATACACATATTTATTTTTTTCTGTTGCTTTGGGGCTGCCTAGGATTTCATAAAACTGATATCTTTAGAAAGCTACCATCTGTATTACAGGTTACAAATCGAAAACCTACAGGGGCCGGGCAAGTAGTATAAATGAATAAGTGTCCAGGTGTAAGGAAAACAAATGTGTGACATATGATGATATAAATGAGAGTAAACCCTTAGCTCCCTGGCAGGGAAGGTGTCAAACTGGAGAGCCCAGTGTGGTCTAAAGCTGCTCCCTG